TTTTTTTTTTTTTTTTTTGGAGCCTTCCTTGTGGAAGCAACAAAGCCATAGGGCTGGTTAGGGAGAATAGCTTTCCTGTTGCCCTTTCCAATACAATGTCCTCACTCTTTGCCCTTTATGCTTGGTGCCCTACTTCCTACTTTAACATGTAACAAAAACCAGTTTGTAATGTAAAAGTTGAGTGATTTTGAAAATAAGCTGTATATACAGGGTGTGGCAAAAGTGGGTTTACAGTTGTTCATATGGAAAATAATACAATAGTTAATAAATAGTAATACAAGAATAAGCTCTGTGTTCTGCATATTGTAAACCTACTTTTGCCACACCCTGTATAATGGCTTTTATATTCATGAACAAAGACGATAGTAAGGGCAAATAAAGCTAATAATGTAAATAAGTGCATTGATATTAGTTCAGATCTTTTATCTGTCTCTTATTTGGATCCGGGCAAGTTAATTACCTTTTCTTTTTTTAAAAAAATTTTATTTTATATTTTCCATCACCACTTATCCCCTCTATGGGCTCTTCCACTCCACACCCCCCTCCCCCCCATAATCATCACACTGTTATCCATGTTCATAAATTCTTTCTCTCTTTTTTTCTCAATCCCTCCACCCCCCCTAATAAGCTTTTCTGAAATCTGTTTCCTCGCTTGTAAAATAGGGGCAATATGAATTTTAGGGTCATGAAAATGTAATTATATGGATAGAGATGTATAGCATTTAGTAGAGTGCCTACCACACAATAACATAAATAATAAATGTTACTTTTTATAAATAAAGAAGTATTTCTCTAGCCATGGAATTATTCCTAACAGTCACTCATTCATTCATTTTCACAATTGCCAAGTGCCAGGCACCTGTGGATCCAATATTGAACAAAAATACATATAGACCCAGATAATCCCAAACATAAGAATAGATTGCAACTTTTACAAGCGCTGCAAAGAATAGTATGATAAATTTAATCTGGCTTCCCAAAGAAGTGGTTCTTAAACTAAGATCTGAAGAATCAGTAGGAGATAACTGGATGAAGCAGGAAAGAAAAGAACATTCCAGACCCAAGGATGTCTAACAACCACCCATTTCCCTGGAAAATGAGATGCCTTCAAAGGTACTGGTTATTTTCAGGCCAGAATATTGAAATGAGTAGGAAACAGTACAAACAAAATACAAGTAAATGAAAAGTGCATTGTAGATATTAGGGAAGGAAGAGATAGAAATTAGCCATTTTGTTTGTCTTTTAAAATTTTTTTGTTTGTGTTTAAACATAGAAAAAAGAAATATACTAATAACTGGCTATATCTGTGTGAAATTACCGATGGTTCTTATTTCCTACAATTTCGAATTTTGTAATTTATTTTTGTTTGCAATAATTAAATGCTACTTGAATGATTTAAAAAAATCAAAATTTGGAAAAGTAATTGACTGGAATTTCTAAAGTAGACTTAAAGGAAGAAATAAATCTAGAGATGGCTTTAGAAGACTGCAGGGATTTAGAAGGGGAGAAATAGAAAAAGACTAATCTAGGTAGCAGGAATGGAGTTGGAGATGAGGCCAGAGCAGAGCACTGCAGAAATGGCTTTAAGCAACATAGCATTTGCAATAAACTCCCTAAGTGCCATTTTTCCAAAATAAACGAACAGAGCTATCTATAGTCAAAATGTATTTTTCTGTCATCCAAGTTGTACAGAGGTTGCCAGGGTTGCCCCTACTTTAGCTGGTGACAGAAGAGAGAGTATTAGAACTTGTATGGTTTCAATAGATCAGAACCCAAGCCTGATTAGGTTCCGCAAGAATGGTTATTACTGCAGGAAGGTCAGCAGTGCAGCTGGCCTAGAGATGACTGAAACCTTATTGTATGACTTTATTCTCTTCTGCTCCAGCCCACCTCCCATATGAAAAACCTTGGCTGGTAATAGCTTTTTGACACATAACGCAGACAAAACAGTAGACAGTGACTGGGTATTTCTGTATTATTGAGAGGAGATATGAGGGGGGAGATCTTCTGTAGAGAGGACATATGGTCCCAGTTGCATTCTTCAGATGTAATGATTATCCTTCAAATCCTCGCTTAGAGGAGACCACCTCCTCACCAAACTGTGAAGCTTTTCCTGATGCCCTTTCCTAACAGTTGACCCCTCCTCTCTACTACTTCTGTAACATATGATTGTTACACACTATATTGTTTTTAGATTTATTAGTTTTACCTGTGGATGTAGTAAAAGCAAGGACTCTGGAGGCAGACTGCTTAGATGTAAAATTTACTCCCATTGTTACTAACTGTGAAACCTCAGGCAAGTTACATAACCCCTCTAGGCCTCAGTTTTTTTCATCTCTAACATGGGATTAATAGTACTCCCTTCATAAAGTTTTTATGAGGTTTAAATTAGATGATTATCTGTAAAGCTCTTAGTAGAACACTTCACCTTAATAAAAGTTGACATACCTCCACTCTTCGGGATGGATATATTTGCATGAGAGCATTTGAAGGATGGGATGGGAGACACCAGGAATGACCCACAAGATGGCAGTGTTTGAATATAACTTCAGAACTGTATAAGCTTGAAAGCAGAGTCCACCAACAAATCTAAAAATTCAAGGCAAATTCAAAGCCTATGTGAAACTTGTGAGAAATCAAACCTATGAATTTGGTAAGTTTAGCATTCTTTTATAATCAAAACAATCTGGACTCTCCCTCTATGCTGTGACTGAGCATCTCACATAGAATTGCTTGTGTTCCGTCTTTACCTACGTGGGAGGAGGAAGAAAATTTTTTCTCCCCTCAAAGTCCTTTTGGCTGGTCTAATCAAAAAGACATGAGCTAGATTAGCAAGAGAAAATAACCAAGTTTACTACATACATATGTATGGGAACCCCAAATACATGAGAGTCAGAGACCCCATATGCATGAGAAGTTAAGAGACAGAAAGGGAAAATGGGTATATAGGACCTTTTGAGGTAGGGATGAGGTAAGGTGCCTAGCGGGCTTCAAGGGTCATTGCAGGACCATATAAAGAGCAGATATTTAGAGCCTTACAGATAGGTCAAACAAGGTTATCTCTGATAATCTCTTATTATGGTCAAGGCCCCTAACTCAAGTTCTTCTAGGTGGGTAAGGGAGGGGCAGAAGTTCCTTGAGCCTGCAGCTAAAGTTGCCTTTAGCTCAAAACAACCTGCATACCACAGAGGCATGTCTTGGAGTGACTAGTTCTGAACCCACACACCTAACTGCATGATGAAACAGGCTGTTATCAGCACTGCTTGCTTAAAAAACAAAGAAAGAAAAACAGTTTGAATTAAACTGCAGTGGCAGACTGGACACATACTGCAACTTTCTCTTTATGCCACAAATCCCTAGACCTTGCAGAAGAGACATTTAAAATAATTAAATTCACAAATATATTGGAAAACAAGAAGGTTAGCCATTGATGGTCCAGAACTTATGAGGATTCCCCGAGAGATGGATAGAAGGCTGGATTGGACAACTCTAAACAAAAAGAAGACAAGACTGCAGTATTAGTTCTCTCCCCTCCACAGTGCCATCTCCCTCTCCCCTCCAAGGGGACCCCACGAGACTTGCAACCAGGGGAGCAATAGGCAATGGCAGCTCATCCCAGGCTCACCCCCTGAACCTGTCTCCAAGGCCCTCTTCTCTCTCTGACTTCCTAGTGAACCAAAGCAGCCCAGCCTAGGCTCTCCTGTTGCTTCTACTATACCTTTCCTTGTATCATTGTTCTAAGTACATTTTTGCTGTGGCCAATAAATTCTTGCTTTCTTTTCTACAAAAAAGAGGAAGGAGGAGAAGAAGACGACGATAACAAGACTGTTATGAAAGGTAGTAGCAGCACCGAAAGGGTTTCACATCTAGAGGAGGCTATTAGGAGCAGGAAGGAGTCCAGACTAAACCACAAAGAAACTAACTGGAGTATCACAGCAGGAGCAGTGCGCCACGAGAAACTTCCTCACCCCCCATTCCATGAGAGCAACAGAGACATCTGTATCTGTCTCTAGGCAGAATATAAGACAGTGCTCACGTGGCTGGTGATACCTGGAATAATCAGGAAACAATCAGAA